GGTGGGTATCATTAAGAAGTTGCCGATATGAAGGATCCAGGTTGGTTTCTGTTGGGGCTGCCACCATTAAACAAAGTGGCAGACAAAAGTCAGTTAAAGTTGGTGGCTAAATTACTATTTCTGATATAAAGACATTTTTAGAGTCTTACCCATGGAAAGAGTCAGGTAATGAAAGGTAACGATGAGTTCTTTATGGAGTTATGGCAACCTCTGCTTGACTACTTGCCCGTGATCTCAATGTCACTATACAGACAGACAGGTACAGGCTCAGGTACAGGCTGGCGAGCTGTTGGTTTGCCTGTTTGACCAGGTCGGTGTGTCTTGCTTAATTGGGTAATATTTTTGTAATGAGTAAAACTCAAACATGTGCTCAGAGTGCTCTAGTGTGTTGTGTAAAATGTTGAAAATTAAATAAAATATATTTAAAAAATGTAAAAAGAAGTTGCCAATACGATACATACCCTGATACAGTGCACTTTCGATTCGATGCAATATATTTCAAATCGATTCGATATGGTTCAATAAAAAATAAAGTCTATATCATGGCTGTGATACTAAAAGCCTTTGTCAAATCACTTCTTGTGCAAAGTTAAAATGAAACACAACAATTTTAATCATCAAAACAGTGAGTATTTCAAATGTATCGCACAAACAATTTTCTTTCCACTGAACAAGCAACAAAACTGTAGCACTGTGACAAAATTATTTAGTTAAATATACCAAAAAATACTACTGGAAATATATCGATACAGCAGCCCACGATATCAATACTGTATCATCACATTAAACACTATACGATATATCGATATTTCAATGTTTTTGACAGGGGTCTCCAATTTTTTTTCACTGAAGGATGCATATAAAAACACATATTGTAACAATGGGCTGTAGACTGGTGTTCAATACGGCAAGACTTTCAGATAGAAGCATTTTCCAGACCCACAACACCTTTAAAAAGTTTTGCAACACTAATTCCAGGCATGATTTTGGTCCGTATCACAATAATAATGCAATACAGTGATAGAAATATTGATTTGCAGTAAAAACGAACTGTCTATGGTCAGTTCAGCAGGAGGCTCAAGGGTCAACAAAAATTGAGGTCCACATTTGGCTATAGTTTGGACACCCCTGGTATTAAAAAAAAAGATTTGCAGTGGTCAAGACTAGTAACTACACTTAGATAGAAGAACCCCATTTTTAGTCATATACTGTATATTTATATGAAATTTTATACGTAAAACAATAATACAACCACATAACCCACGTAAAATCCGGATAAAGATCATTTCTATGACAAATTGATATCCAAATGACTACACGCCAGACCGATGCCATTTCAAAGCGGAAAAATACAATAGAGTCTGGGGTGGTCTTCACTTCAGCCATTATGTTCTCTACTCATAACAATAAGAGCATTTGGAAGACAATCTCTAACAGACATTTTGAGGTTCCTGTGTTTGGTAACGTCGTGGAAACAGTTTAGGAAAAAGACTGTAACAGGAGTGATATAAATAAACAGGGCCTGACTACAATAAGACGATAATGACAGGCTAAAGTTGAAACAGCAGAGGTCAGTGGAGTGTGTGTTGGTACAGAGATCCGTGCTTCGTCTTATGTACGCTGGCGTGTTGCGGGGCCCACTGTAGCCATGCAGCGGCTTGTCTACTGAGAACGCTGGGTGCATTCCTGAGAGATTGATAATTACCGACCGAGGAACTCTTCTCTCTAAAATTTGCTTTCACCCCTTTCCAGCTCTCCGCCCCTCGCGCCCCTCCTCCTCCGCCTCATGTTCTTTCTTTCTCCCCTCTGCCCACCTTCATAGTTCCATCCCAAGTACAGTGGTCTCGGACAGGATCACAAATAATAGCAAACACATGAGAGATATTTGGTAGATAAGATTACAGTAAGACGCTGTGTGTGCAATGACTGACAGTATTGTTCGGATTAAATTTCACAGAAGTTGACGCTATCGTTTTTAGCAGTGAGGAAAGAGCACATGGTTTGGGTTACACAATGTTTGGACAGCAATGTACATATTTGCAGTCCGAAATCCATTTTGCGGGAATGCAGCAAAAACTAATCTCTGGCTGCTGTCTTCAAGGGTTTTCTTAGGAGTAAGAAAACCGTACTTGCACTAACTTGTATGAAAAATGTGCACTTTTAAGAAGCATATATTTAGATCAAAGTCAGCAGTGCAACATGGGAGGTAGGAATGTAGAAAGAAATTTGATACTGCAGTTGTTTTAGGGAAAAGATGTTAGAATTGGAATAACCTATATATTGTCTAAGATGAAAATAAAACTTACAATGTAATCTTTAAAATAAGGAAATACAGTTCAGTTTTGTGGTAAATTTTACTTTTTGTGATACTAAACCTCAGTCAAGCACGTTTTACCACATTTCTGATCTTAATATTGTTTAAGTAGCATAATCGGGACAATTAAAAAATTAGAGATCAACTGATATGGGTTTTTTAATGGCACTGTTCCGAATCCAAAGAAACCAAAGGCAGATAAGCTTTGCTAATATTTTTGGGCATGTATCTGCGTCTCCTCCAGATTATGTAATTTAAATTCTCTAAAAACTCACCCTCTACTCTTTTTTGACAACAAAAAAGCTGTAGTCATGTTTTAATAGCTAGCTATTTGTTTGGAAGTCTTCAAAGGAAGTTTTATGGGTATCTTTAGGAAGCAGGTCACCCAAAACAAAACATAAACTCGGCCTGTGCTAGAGATTTAAAGGAGATAGCATATGCTCTAAAAAGTGCAAATATTGGTTTATCTCTACAAAAAATATAGAGCAAATCCTGAACATAATCCACTTTGAGGTCTCTTTCCCACAAGCTGAGAACCAATCATAGAAAAGCATCTTAATGTCACTGAGGGAAAAGTGACAGAACCACTTACTCTTTTTGTTTGTTGTTTTTCCCCATAAGAGTAAAGAAAACTGTAATTTCCCTGGCAGTATCCACATGCGGCTGCCAGCAGACACACAGGCGAATCTCTGCTATGTGTGGTGTTTGCTTTGCCACAGGGGTTACCAAGGGTCTCCTGTCTGGACCGAGGCCGTATTGAAGGAGCTGAAGCCCCCGGGACACTAGGTCAGTAACATGCCACATAGAAAGAGAAAGATTGCTGTCGGGCAATCATGGCAACGACAAACACAGCTGGACACAAAGTTTAAAAATACTTTCTGGAAATATTTTTAGTGCAAAACAAGGAACTCGAAGTCAAGACTAAAAGTCACATGGAGAAAACATTATAGTCAGACACGATAGTAAAGTCACTTCTGACATCGTGTATGAAACATCCACAATCTCCACGACAATAAATATAATAGGCTACTAAGCAGATGTATTATAGCTGAAGTAATGGTCACTGCAACTTCATGTACAAAGTAATATGTGAAGTAGAAGGTAGTAGTTGTGGTAGTACTAGTATTACAGCATAAAAGTGTCAGATGGTGGTAGCACTAGTAACAATACAAGTAGGATATGCTGTTTTGGATATATTCACAATTTAAATATTTATTAAATCGTCTGTAATAAAAAATATATACATATTTAAAAAAGCTTCAATAAAAGGTGATGGGAAATTTTTTTTAAATCTAAATTTACAGTTTAATTTGTAAAATAAGAGTATACAGTGACGTTATACATGCCAACATTTATGAAAATATAAATTGCCCATATCCCCCAAACAGTAGCAGTATACTTAACACAAATATTTTTTTATAACGTACCCTACACTTATATTTGTCGTTTGAAGAAAAATAGTGAATTGAACAAAAAATGTATAAATGTGATTTTTTTTTAAATCATTTTCACATCACATTTAGGAATCTTCCCCCACACCTTATTTGACAAATCCTTGGATGCACTCTTAAAATTTTGGCACCAAAGCAAGTTTCCAAAACACTGTGCTCTTTGATCGTGCCCCTTTAGCTATTAATCAAATTTTCCCAGATGAGGTGAAAAGAATGCTGTGACGTCTTCACCACAATCTCATTTATTTGATAATCTGTCACAACAAGACAGGGGTTTCCTCACACCTTTCCTTAGGTCTTCCTGTATGACACCAAAGCATCACTCACTCAGCTTTCTCATATTTAATCATGTATGATAGTCGCAACATGCTCATTACACATCTTGCTCAATTGTCCCTTCAGGCAAAAATGCATCTCTTACCTGGTCACATCGGGATATGGGAATTTTCCTAGTGTTATGGACTAGCTACCCCCTACATAACCTACCTCGTGTCATCAGCTGCATCATGATCTCAGAGGGTAACTCGGCCTGAGCTGTTGCTTACATAACACCTGAGATCTCCAAGGGTAACAAGCCCTGGCAAGGAAGGACTGGAGAAGACTTAAGGAGCACCAGTATGTGACACACCCTTACTAAACAAATGGCTTCTCTTACCACAAGGTATAAGAGGTGAGACAGCAGTAAACAGGATTAAACTCACTGGAAACTTTGACAGTCCCAAAACTTTGGATTTTGATAACAGTCAGGTGCAAAGTTCAGGATTGGCAAACAGACACAGAGGTGCACAGTGCATGTGTTTGACATGCACTAAAACATACTAAAAGTTTCACTACATGTGCTATCAAGGAATCAGGTTCATGGGTCAGTGATGGCACGCACAATAGTGTTCATTGTCATAAAGCTGAAAGAAGGACTATAAGGTCTTGAATTACCTGTGCTTTGGATCCCTCAAGGCCATGCTAAGCAAATCTCCCACACCTAATTTTCCACGCATGCTAAGACTAACCCAGCAATTTACACAAGGTGAGCCCTAATAAAACAAATTAGAATTATGTCATATAGTTTAGTTTAAAAAGCCACTTGTTCTGAGTCTGAATTTAGAACGTCACAGAATTTAAATTTTGGTTTAATCCTGAGTGCCAAGTGAAATATGTTGCAATCCACAACACACTCAACATTTTTTTCAGTTCTCTTTTGTTAAGGCTACATGTAAGAAAAGCAACAAAACTTTTACCTTTAAAGAGATTCCTGGTCCAAATGGCTTGTCCTAGCCCCTCTCCATCTGAATTTGTGTCACTCTACCGTTTCTCCAAAACTTTTCACTCCCCAAACTTCTTCAGGTGAACCATTTCCGTGAAGAGCGCGTATTGGAAGCGGACCCGTGTTTGCGCGCAGCCTGACTTCTGCCGCAGCTTCCGTGTGGAGACTGGAGTGACACGGGGCTGGATCATGGGCTGGATGTGAACTGTTCCTTCGCCTTGAGCGCCGATGCTTGGAGTGAGCGCGCTGGAGAGGGAGGCAGGATGAGCGCTGTGTACTGCTGCTGCTGCTGCTGCTGCTGCTGCGGTGGAGGCGCGGATCCCACCTGGAGGAGAAGAGTCGAGCTCAGAGAGCAGCGACCACGGCTGTGGGAACATCTAGTGGTGGCTTTTTATAACTACAACTATTTTGGGAATAGTTTCACATTCCAGCAATTTTTTTTTTTCCAGCAGTATTCTGTTGCAGGCCTAGTAGTCCTATTAGTAGGGGATCAGTTCACAAGGTTAGGATAAAATATGCATAATAATTTTATTCTGAATTTATTTTAGGCCTAATCTATTTTACATCACTCCAAAGACTAAATCTGTTAACTAATTCAAATGATTCAAAAGCCATTCTTAGTTTTATAATCAATGGTGAAACATAACAAAGTAAGTAAAGTACCGTACTTAAAGTAAAAAAAAATTAGATATCTGTGCTGTACTTTACTTGTTCATGCACCAAAGACAAGGCAAATAATGGTAGAAATATGTATTTATGTTAATTGTCAGATTTGTTGTTGTTGTTGTTGTTGTCGTCTTTAAATTGATGCCAACAAAATAATCGCATGAGCAATAAATAAATAAATACATAAATAAATACTTCAGTGGATACTTTTTACTTTTTCTTCATTGCATTTGAGAGCAGGTGTCTGTACTTTCTACTCCACAACATTTTTTAACTAAACATATTTTTTTAATATTTGTGTGAGATTATTGTGCAAAAAAAGGCAGAGAATTTATTTTGTGCACATTTGTACTAATAAAAAGGTACAGAAAAAATCTGTTTCTGTAAAATCTGTAGCAAAATCACCACATGAGAAACCTTATAAGACCTTGTAATCTGCATAAAATACTTTTTACTTTTAAGTACAATTTTAAACAGGTACCTATACTTTACTTATGCAATACTTTTACTTGAGTATTTTTTGCTCCAGTATCTGTACTTTTATTTAAGTAACAAAACTGAGTACGTCTTCCACCACTGCTTTATATGGACTGGAAACATTGTGGAATAAATAGACTGAGGCATGAAGCTGGAGTTCTAACACAGAAGAAGTTTATTTATCTTACCAATATTTTACATTTTTAGCAATAACCAAGACACAAACCTAAAAGTCATTGTGATATTGTCTTTCTCATTCTAGTCCTGTCCACACTGGCTATGCTTCTGAAGACATATGCCAAGGACTGAGGTACAGAGCCCTGCAGATGACGGAAAGGAAAATAATAATTATTGTAAAATAAAATAAAATTTAAATATATATATAAAATATAAATATATATTATCTTGCGGAAACGACATAACTTAAAAAAACATATGCAGTTTGCCATGTGTAAAGGGATCAAAACAAGCACGACAGAGAGCACCGATCCACTTTGAGTTGTGTCAGATGAAGGTATTAATGAAGGTAATGACATGAAACTATTATAAAATTGAATGTATTATTGAGAAATAGTGTTTATATTAAAGTTAACGTTACAACGTTACAAGGCATCATTGTTCAACGTTCAAGGTTCAAGGTTTCATTGTTTCAACACTTTATCCTGAAATTAACGACAGGCTTTCGTGGTAAACCATGGAAAGTTTGAATAAAGTTGCTTACATGGATCCTTTCTCCACATATGATGAGAGTGTAGATTTAATAATGGTTAATCAATGTTGTCAAGTTGTTAGCAGCCATGCTAATAGTATTTAGTATTTAATCCCTAATCACATATTATTACGGAAGCTATCCCAACTATAGTCAATCTATAAATCTTTATACAGTCTATGGTCCCAGCAGAACTGGGCAATCTGTTGAATTGTCTCTAAACCAGCATCAAACCTGGACTAAACCAAGTCTAACCCCGCATACCACTCACTGAACCAGGAGACCAACCCCTCGGCATGCGCCATAACACACACTCTCCATTCACTGGGTACTTGCCACAGGGTTTGAGGGGTGCTCCACAAAGAAAACATTTGCACACAAAAAAAAAAAAAAAAAAAAAAAAAATATATATATATATATATATATATATATATATATATATATATATATATATATATATATATATATATATATATATATATATATATATATATATATATATATATGGTATTAAACCCAAAATAGATAACAAAATAGATGTTTTCAAAATCAAATGACCGTTACATACAGGGTCCAGGAAGAGAATAAGCATACCTCACTGAAAGACACAAAACAAAACTGGACAAATGCTTTGTCGAGAAAATCCCTGCTGAAATGTCCTTGATCTTTAAGGTCAGCACAAAACTGGATCTCAATTCTCCCCTTTTTTAACTGACTCCACCAGCTCTCGATTCTTTGATTTGCCATGCTTGCTCCTGTGATAAAGCTCTGTGAACCAGTTCAAATGTATTGTCCATTGTGTTTGAGATACTGTTGAATATCTCTTACAACTACTTTATCCGTACCCATGTCCACATGTAAAAGCCCTGGACAACCACCTTTGTGCTCTAAGGTCTTAAAAAAATACCCTCCAATAACTCTTGGGTCACTGCTAGTGAAAAACGCTCTAAGCCACATAACCCTCCAGGAATAGCCATCTATGACTCCTTTCCTGCAAATTCCGTAAGGCTTCAACTTATCAGCATGCCAAATAATGTTGGACCTCTATGAAAAATAACGTTGTCGTATGAGATGTCTTCCCTGGCCAGCCTGAACGTTGACTGGATCAAGTTCAAGTGAAAGCAGTAACCTAATGTCTTCCTTTCTGACACATAAACCATGTTCCAGAGACTTGGCATATATCCAGAGATAACCACTGAGTCTCCCTGACCCTTCCAACTGACCAAGGATGAAGCCAACAGCTAGCTCGTAAGTTAGTATATTGCCAATGGTAGCATCCATAAGTCCTTAATGTCCTCATAAAATGTTTTTTGCTCAAAAGATTACCGTCCAAAGCAAGCGTTGTTAATATGTTGTTGTAGCTCATCCCCAGCATAAAATAATGAATGATTTTGGAGTCCCGATCATCCTGATCTATTGCATATAAGTGTCTCTTCCCTTCTTATTACCATGTTTCCCTTCTCTTGTAACTGTACTTCAAGAGGTCCACCTGCTGTACCTGCAGGTCAAAAATATCTAATAATAATTTTTATACATACATTTTCATGGATGCACATGATATTTAACTAAAAAAATAAAAATAAGAACTTGTTCCCTCAAGATAATTATCTTGTTCCCTCAAAATAATTAGCAAGTTCCTTTAAGATAATATTACATGGGAATGTGATATTATCTCATGGCCAAGCGTTAATAATATTTTATAAATGTCCTATGCTGTGCTCCGTACTCAGCTGGCAGGGAGTGGCCTTGGTGCAGCACAGTAAAGCAGTTTCTCTATCAAACATAATCCTAATATATTTCCTCAGGCACATAGCTTCAAATTGCCCTATGTCAGCAATGTTTTCTTTATTTTCTGAACAGGAATGCCAAAGAAGTGTGCAAAAGTGTCACTTGGCCAGTGGCTGCGGAAATCAATATTTATAAAAATTAACCAATTTTCACCTCGTATCCTAACTTACAGTCAAATAAAATCCCCTTATTATGATATTTGTATTCTGTTACTCTAATCTATGATTTGGCCAAACCAAACTAGTGGCCACATTTTTTTTACAACAACACATAGAATAGTTATTACTTTTACAACGCTGACACTTTCCAGTAAAGTGTTTTAAACCAGTGTAAATATAGCTCTGGTGTGGGGCAGGCATGTAGGCCAGTCTAGGCTCTGCTGCTGACACAGTTAATGCTCCCATGTGGGTGGTATCAAAAGTCATCCTCTAAATCCAGATATAGTATTTCCCAAGAGCTTCTAGTGTTATTAATAACAAAGTGTGCCTCTGTTTTCTTCCAGACGACTTGTCTTTAGTCTGAGAAAGTGGATTGCTCTGACATCTCAGGACTTGGGTATGTTTTAATGTTGTTGTAGTTTGTTGACATTGTGTTAAATGTAAATATTGTTAGTAACTCAGGAGGTTGTTTGCTTTGTACTACATTTGTTAATGTTAATACTTGTGTGTTTATTAATTTATTTATTTTCTACAGTCTTATCATGGAACTTATGGAGGATGATCCACCAAATGGGATTAGTCTCAATACATGCAATCCATATGAGGAATTTTGTGGAAATATTGCATCCACTGTGACTCCTCGGGATCCAGTCACTCATCACATCTCAGTCCAGACTGACAGCACAGACTTGGACAAAGTGGGAGAGATGTTTGAGCGCTGCATTGATGAAGTGTTTCGTCTGGAGATGCACAGGGACCGTCTCATAGAAGAGTTTGCCCAGCTGCAAGAGCCCATGCTGGAGCTGGTGAGGCACCTGAGAGGCCGTCTGTTGGAGGCTCAGAGGCTGCTCACACAGGCTCAGGTGGATTACATTTCTGTCTATGAGGAAGTGCAGCAGCTCAAAAGGAAACTATTCTCCACAGCACGAGACAGCATCCAGAGCCAAGTGACACTGGCTGCACGCCAGTTTGAAGTGGCCCAGTCTGATGTGACACAGGTACTGTATAGTTACTATTTTCATTTTAAGTTTTAAGTATCCGTATTATGGGATATTATGGAAATTGAATAAATGATTATTCCTCAATAACTTTTTTGTAATTATATTCAGTAATGTTATTAATTAATTGCAAATCTTACTGTGACTGAAAAGCTTTAGTATGGTACTACCATTGTTGCCGTTGTGGATGATGCTATATTTTTCTACTGTAAACACTGTCACTTAGTACTGTAAGTGAGTAACTAATTTTCTACTAAAGGTTGTCAATTCAATGCCCATCATGAACACTCTCCTTGTAACTGTGATTAGTGATTAGACAAACTGTGGTGCTTCTTTCAACAGGAGGAGCTTAAAGCCACTATTCACAGCCTAACAGAGGAAAAGGCAGAGCTTGAGAAAGCCCACAAAGAGCAGGTGCGTCACCTGCAGAACCTGAAGGCTAAGCCCAGGTCCCGAACCATGAGTGACAGTGTGAGCCTGTGTCGCCAGGCCTCTCTGCGACTCCAGCGCAGACTCAGCGGCAGCATCAAGTCCTTGGAGAGCTGGTATGAGCCTTGCCTTATGGCTCTGCTTCGGAGGAGGCAAATTGGAGAAGATGCTCTGAGAAGAACCAGGGAGCAGTCCACAGACCTAAGGACTCAGCTGGGACCCCTCAGGGAGGATGTCCAGAGGCTAGAGACACAGAGAGCTTCATTGGAGAAGAGAAAAGCACTGATGGAGATTGACAGGGAACACAACTTGAAACAACACAAGGTATGGAAACCAGACTGTGTAAGTCTACAGGAAAGACATTGATTTGGTGTGAATTAATCCAGTTTTATGAGCTTTTAGAACATGTCATTACAGGACAAAGTGGAGGAACTGAAGAACGTCTTAAATGACCTTGAAGAGGAGTTTGAAACTCAAAAAATGTCCAAGAACATTCTAGCAGATCTTAAGGAGGGCTTGTTGAGAGAACTAACATTTCTCAGGTAGTTTTCTGTATACATGTGTTTTGGAAAGTTTTAAATTAGTTCATATTTGTTTTTTTTTTCCCCCAGAGGCAGTGATGATGAAGCTCCTGACGAACATCAATTACTTTCTAAATATGATGCATTATAGCACATTTCTTAGAGGATCATTCATACTGCTGTTTATACAATGTAATAAAACAGAAAAACCTTGAAATACTGTAAATACCTTTATTCTGAATACGCTTAGACACACAAAATCAGTTGCAGCACATAAACAAATGCAAATAAGTCATGGACAAAATACAGACTGGAGTTTCTACTATGCAGGGGATCAATGTGAAAACTACCATATTTACAATTCAATAGTGCCATCATGAAAGAGGTTTAACTAAGAAGAAAGGTTTCGGAAAACTAAGTGAAGATGAAAAGACAAAAAAAAATGACACAATGTGATATTTGTAATGTCTAAAAGTTGCAGACCTCAATTAAATACTTCACAACATAATAATGCAGCTCTCATTCTTTCCATTTTCTACAAAATCTCACGCTGCACAGACTTTAAAAAGAACAGAACAGAGGACAGCTCAATAAAAGACATGACAAGACCAAATTTATGCCTGGACTTCGGAGTCTGTTGCTCCCTCTGGGTCTTCATCATTGTAGATATTTTCAGCCTAGGTATTATAGAAAATATGTTTAAATCACATGTAATTTAAAATGTAAGTGATAATTAAAGAAAATCATCTTACCATTTGCCAAACTTGCATGATGTTATCCTCGGACACTGAACAGATGACCCAAGGCTCGTTGGGGTTCCAAGAGAAGTCTGAAATCTTCGCTGTGTGACCCCCATGAATGAACTAAACAAAGACACATGCATTAATATAATGCAAAACCACTTTAATGTTAAAGCAAGATTAAGAGTAACAATACGCACCAGCAGCTCTGGTGGACCATCCTCTGCGTCCTCTGGAGACTGCTCCTCTCCGATCTTACTCAGATCCCACACATTGAGCCTTCTGTCTGTGCCACTAGAAGCCAGGATAGTCTCATTATGAGGAGACCACTGCACCTAATGATAAAAGATGAAAACAAGTTTGACAATAATACAAGATAAACATAAAATCCAACAAAAAAAGAAGTGACTATTACCTGGAAAATCTCATCTTTGTGAGACTCAAAAGAATGCAGTTTCAGTTTCAGGTTCCGCAGGTCCCAAAGTGCCACAGTCTGGATCAAAAGACAAAAATGCTCAAATGTCCAGTGACAATTTAATTTAAAATCACAACAATGTCTGACCTTATCTGCTGAGCCTGTTGCCAGTATAAACTCGCTGTATGGGTTGAAGGACAAGCAGTTGACTTCAGCTGTGTGAGCATCAACAGCGTGGCTAGGCTTCGAGGTGTTGTTTGATCGCGTATCCCAACTAATACCAAATATATGCATTTAAGTTTACAAAAATAACATTTGCTTAATCAAAAATGCTAATTAAAACTACTTACATCATGAGCTTCTGGTCATCTGCCACTGATCCGAAAAGAGACTCATGAAGAAGATGCCAAGAAACATCTTCTACAACCGCAGTGTGGCCTGTGAAAATTGTTTTGGCATCCACAATCTTCCCCTCTTTAGGAACAGTGCTAATGTCCCAAAGGCAGATCGTCTGTAAGAGTCCAATGTTCAGATAATGATTTAATGCTCTCTAAAATGTATTTTATACTGAAGGAAAAAAAACCCAACATATATTTCAATTTAACTTACATGATCATCTGAAGCGCTAAGTAGACACCCACTTAGGTTTGGGTTCCAGGAGAGGCCATAGCCTTCTTTTTGGTGACCTCTGAGCCGCAAATCTGGGGTGCATTCTCCAGATGGATCTAAAGTCAAACAACATAAAATTTGACATGTAATAACTTTGTGCAGCAATATATAAAGAAAACACACCTAAAATTACTAAATGAAACCCTACCAGGCTTAGATGGATGCTTTGTGTAATCAAAGACAAGAACATCGCTGGTGGGAGTCTTAGTGGCGATGATGCATGGATTTTGAGGCATGTAGCGAGCTCGGTTCACTTCTCCTTCATGGTTTATCTTGATCTCGATTTCTATTTTACCACTGACAGATCCAAAGCCTCCAAATTCTGTAAGCCAGCAAAAGATAATTAATTGTTGTTGCTTCGTTATGTATATGCTAATTTTTCACAAGATCCGTACCTCCTTTCTCACTGTCATAGTGTGAAGCATCAAACTGTGCATCGTCATTTGGGAGCTGAACACTGGCTATGACAAGGTGGTTCTGCTCATCTGATGTGTGTGTCCCCAGAACAAGCCTGTGGACGCTGTAATCTTTTCCTTCTGGTCTAAAGTGTAAAAAATAATAATAGTAATACAAAAATGTCAATCAAATCATCTGAGTGACTTTTGTCGACATGAAAAGCAGCATTTGGTTTACCTGGTGACATCTGGCAACCACTGTGCTGTGAGGCTGGGCCACTCAAGAGCATGGGTCATGACCAAATCATAGAGAAAGGGAGTGTTCTTCTTCCAAATCTTATACTCCTCGTTTATGACTCTCTCCTCCACTGCATCATCGAAGGCAGCTGCACAAAGAGAAAAGTTAAAAGAAAACAGATCTAATAGAAATACATCTCACCTGTAACATATGACTGAAGGAAAAATCAATAGTCAATATCCTAAGAAACTGATTCTATTAACTACACATTGGAAAGCACTGAATAAAATAAAACAATTTCACGTGCAATAGCAAAACACAGCTTAAACCTAGTTTCATCCAATGAGCTAGCAGCTAGTCAGCTAGCTTACAGTTAGCCGGCTGGTGAGTTAACAATGAAAGGAGATGCTCTGCCGCGCCAAACACGCAAGTCTGCCCGAAATCGACGAAACTAATGACAGAAATGTGAACATCATAAATGTGTTACAATAGTATAGAATCTTACCATCTTTGTCCGCCATTGTGCCCCAATAGAGCCGTAAGTCACCACAAAAGTATATTTTATGGAGAGCGCACAGAGAACAGCGCGGAGGCTCGCAATGGCGCCAACTCCACGCGACGCAGCGGACCAATCAGCGCGCGCAAAGTTCACCGGAAGTTGTCATGGTTCTGGCATCGCGAGACACCACCAGGGACACCACTTTTCCGGGTTCTTCATGCTGTGTTCGGCTTTCTATAAGGTTTACTAGTGTCTGCTGGTGTAGTGATATGCTCCCAGATAGTCTTATTAAATCGAATTACTCGAAGGGTTAAAGTACAATGGACGATCGTGTACTGGACCTGAATGAAGAACAAATAGCCATTAAATCTAAATATCCACCTATCAACAAGAAATACGAATGTAAGTTTGAAGTTATTTTAGAATAGCTGACTTCACTAAGCTAGTTTAGATTATTATAGACAGGGCTTCACATGCCCAAAATTTTTCCCAAATATGCCATTATGAAATTCATGTATCGTTTGTAATACCATGGCATGATCAAGTATTTCTTTTTTTTATGGAAATTGTCAGAAAGTACATGAAAAAGTGAGTTTTATGGTCGGTCATAATTGTGACAGGTGGGCTAATACCTTGTACTGTGAGTTAAAGGTGCCACAAGAGATCAATTTAATAGGTCAATTTAATGTAAAAACAAACAAACAAACAAAAATACTCACTATTTTGACTTTAATCACTGAAATAGTAGACACATTTATTTTAATGACATTCTAACATTTAAAAAATATTGTTTTCAGTTTGACAGATTTTGCTATTTATAAAATACAATGCAGTTATTCCTCAAAATGGGGAAGATGCTGTTCTAAATTACAAGAGGGCCAGATGGGTATAATACTTTATGAGAGAACCTTGAATATTCTTCAGACTTGGCTTGATAGCAACTAGAGGTATTTAGATATGAATTGTAGTAGCTAGAGGACCTTGAATGTTCTTTTGACTTGTCCCAAAAGTAGGTAAAAAATCTGGATGTTCTACAGATTTTTCTCTATTCCTTCTAGAGGTCTTTGGATATTTGTCAGACTTGTTTCTATAGCAACTAAGAGGCCTTTGGATATTCAGATTTGTCCCACTAGCAGGTAGAGAATGTTAAATGTTCCTCAGACTTTCCCAATAGTAGTTGAAGGACTCTAGATGTTCTACAGATTTTTGGCTATTGCATCTAGAGGACTTTGGTTCTTCCTCAGACATCTTTCTATAGCATCTAGAGGACCCTAGATTTTTCTCTATAGGTTCTGGAGGACTTTGGGGGTTGCTCAGACTTGTCTCATGCATGTACCTATAGCAGCTTCAATAACTGAGGGTAATGGAGAAGGAGTGGAACTAGAGGTGGACATTATCAGTGTCCTCACCTGACTCCAACAGGTCAGTCTGGTGTATTGAACCACCTGTCGGACATCTCCCCCCACAGTCTATATCAGGCACTACTGATAGGGATAATTACTTAGTTCTAGGCCTTGTCGGGGCCATCACCTTCATACAGCATATGATGAATTTCCCTTAGGGTGGATATAAACCAGTGCATATGATTGAGAGATCCATAACACTTTTATTATAAAGACATATATGTGCTCCTCTACATACTGCCCTATACTATGATATAGTGCTCTATTCCACCGGTCACAGTAGTGACTATCAAAATCTTTTCCATCATACATTTAGGTCAAAATAAAGTGGCATAATTGCAAATGCATTTGTCATTACTAGAGACCTTTAAGATGATGTGTATCAAAAATCATAGTCCTGGGTTTAATTTAAATCACTTTATATTACTATGCTTTTATTTGAGAGAATTCTGGGCATTGTCTTCTTGTCACTGTGTAACTTTTACATAATCATCTGTGGTCATGTGACCAGTAAATATGTAATATTGCACACACTTCATAATTGTGACTGGTGAGTTGAAATGGGTTGTATAACAAAATGTTTTAATATACCCTTTGGCCATTTCAGATTTGGATCATACAGCAGATGTACAGTAAGTATGTTTTTTTTTGAGACTATATTTCAATAGAAATGTTTACATCCCGTTTTTGTTTGACTTTTAAGAATACATTCATGGGGGGACAATCTGGAAGAAGCCTTTGAGCAGTGTGTTATGGGCATGTTCGGGTACATGACAGACACTGAAACTGTGGAACCGCTTGACACAGTAGAGGTAGAGTCAGAAGGTAAATTTGCCTGTTCAGCACTGACATAAATTATATCAAACTGATTACATACTTGATATTCATCTTATCTTTGTACTAGGTGATGACATGGAGTCCTTACTTTTCCACTTTTTGGATGACTGGTTGTATAAGTTCTGTGCAGATCTCTTCTTCGTCCCTAGGGTTAGTTTCTTTACTTAAAACAATTTATGTTTCTAAGTGCACTTATTTAGTGATTTGGATCTTTTCTTTAGGAAGTCAAGGTAGTACATATTGACAGAGTGCATTTCAAAATTCGTTCCATTGGGTGAGTAGTGGCTAAACCATTCAAATAAATTGTCTGATATGTATGTACCATAGACCATATAAATGGACATGGCTAAGTGTTCATGGGTGCAATCCCGGCTCCTTCTGACCTTGTCTTACCCTGACTTTACTTTGGAATATTGTCAGCTCTCTCTGTGTAACTCTGCTCAATGAGTTTCATCATTTTTGGCCTTAAAATGTTCATATTAATGAGTTCTACATGATTCTGGGGTTTTTATTTCACCATTTTGTCTAAATAAATAAATTCCTTTTCCTAATATGGAGCTTGGCTTCAAATTTGCCCATATAACTGCCATCCTCGTGAGCTTCTTTTGACTGGAACCAAATACTAAGAGTGATGTTACACTCCCTTAGTCCACTTTTTTATACAGTCTATGGTATGTACTAATGGAATGCCCATAGCCTTTAAATGGTGCACATTTAATCAATGTGGGCCTTTCACGTATGTTCAATGTTGTATTTATTTTAAAGGTGGGGGGAGGAGTTTTCACTGGATAAGCATCCACAGGTAAAGGATAAATGTCCTAAGAAATATGCCTTATATGTTATGACATTTGATATGTATATTGATTGTTTTCTGTTTCATTTCAGGGTACTGAGGTGAAAGCTATCACATACTCTGCTATGCAGATTCATGATACAGAAAAGCCAGAGATATTTGCTATAGTCGATATTTAATCTCCTGTACATCAGTAGAACTATGAGCCTATTTTACAGTTTTTTAAATTTGTACAGTACTGTGGTTATAATAATGGCACTTTCAAATAATGTGTATATACATATGTGCAGGTTATTTTTTGTTTGAAGAAAATATTTTCTGATTTGTTTCCACAAATAATTATTAAATTATTAGTGAATGCAATTATGAAATATATTTTATATTTTTATGCAAATTTAAATCAAGGTTCCTGTGATTTATATGTGTCGCGATTTTCTTTCATGAAATAAATACACGTTACATCCACCATGATGACCCACTTCATGTTTTGAAATCTCGCGATACTATCACGTGCGGTGCCCACCCCTTTTTCTAAAGTCCTGCTGCGCCATCCCTCTTTGTTCATTCAGCGAAGGAAGGGTCACCGGTATTATTGTACAAGTTGCATTTTTACCTTATTCTCAGAAACATACTTCTCAACTAGGCTTGCTGCTTCGACGACCTCGGTCCCAACTCTGATTGTATCTGAGGAAAATGAGCGACTTTGGTAACGACGTTAAAAGCCCACAGAAGAAAACCAAAATGGACGACAAATACCTTCCAGAGCTCCTTGCCGAAAAGGATAGCTTGGATTCTTCTTTCACACATGCGATGAAACTCATTTCAGCAGGTACATTATTCCATGATTTGTTATTGAATGCAAAGTTAAACATTGCGTGCCAAATTAAATCTCTTAGCTCTTCCTCTATTCCTTTGTCGTTTGGTTAGGCATGGCATGGATTATGGCCCTGCACAATACACGTGTTAATTCAGCATCACACACACTTGCATTGTATTTAGTTGAGTAATTATTACTCTCCACACCGTTTATTGATTTGTAGTGAATAGCTTCTTATATTTATATATTGTACATCTGCCTGTATATTGTAAACACTGCCGTCTGCACACCAGACAAAGACCTTCGTGTAGTGTCCTAAGACTAGCAACAAATGAAATGGATATTTGTGACATAAACATGTATAATGTTGTTCCAACCGTTTATTTTTAAACAGAAATTGAGCGGATCCAGAAAGGCGAGACTAAAAAGGATCATGAAAAAGAAACTTACCTGGACCTATTTGCAACCAAAAATCTAAAACTCAAAGAAAGGGTTCTCATTCCCGTTAAACAGTTTCCAAGAGTAAGTAGCGTTGTTTTGAATTTCAGAATTTTTACGTGCGTGAAAATAAGTTTTAACACAATTTTTTTTTTTTTTTAGGTCAACTTTGTTGGTAAAATATTAGGACCCGGGGGTAATACAATTAAGAGACTCCAAGAGGAGACTGGGGCAAAAATTTCCGTATTGGGTAAAGGTTCCATGAAGGACAAGAATAAGGTATGCAGCACTGTATTGCAATTATTCTTTTAAATAGGTAATATACTCGCTGTAAGGGCCAGGGTTATACAGTAGCCATACGAACCTTATGTAATGGCTAAGCTGTCAATGCATCTGGTTACTCTCCTTATTGATGTAGCTAAATTAAAGTTTTTTTAAAATTAAAACATGAAATTAATTTGAATGTATCCTCACTTTCTGTATTAAAGTCACATTTTTTCAACAGTGATAGACTGAGTTACTATATAGATCTTTATTGTTTTAATTTTCAGGAGGAAGAGTTGAGGAAGGGTGGTGAGGCTAAATATACTCATCTTTCTATGGAGCTCCATGTGTTTATTGAAGTGCATGCCCCCATCCCAGAAGCCTACCTGCGCATGGCCCATGCCATGGATGAGGTCAAGAAGTTCCTTACACCGGTATGTACTACACAATCGGATCCCATATTGAGACATCACAATTTGTGTCCTGCCTGTGGGCTCAGGTGTTGAAGCGTCAAGGCTACTGTCACCTCAGAGTTGTTGGATTGATTCCCTTGGTTTGTGCTGAAATTTTTCTTCAGGAACCAGGTGAGGAGGAGCAGTATATGGACCCCCACTTTCTGAATGGATCCCAGGATGGTTCAGGAAGAGGGCGTGGGATGGGCAGAGGCAGAGGTGGACCACCTGGAGCGAGGTACATATATATAAAAAAAAATGAGTGCATCTTTTTGTTTCCAACAGATTTTTGTACCCTGGCTCAATGGTTGGGCTTTTTATCACATGGTGCTAACAGTTTAACTTTTCGCAGGGGGCGAGGAATGCCACGTGGAGGCCCTCGTGGAGGTATGCGAGGTGCTCCAAGGGGAGCCCCAGGACGTGGAGGTGCCTCAAGAGGCACTCCGGCAGGTCGGGGTGCTGCTGTGAGCAGAGGAGGAGCAGCTGGCCGCTCCAGACCTCCGGCTGCAGGAGCTCCACGGATGCTCCCGTCAGCAGCACTTTCACACCAGGTTCCCCCTGCGCCATCACAGGTGAAAGCAGAGGGTTATGAGGACTATGTAAGTCAGGTTTATATAGTCCTGTCTTATTAACACAGGCCGCTTATAAGTTGTGTGGAATGTGTTTTGATGCCTTTTTTTCCACTTTAGCCTGCATATGATGAGTCTTACGCGGAAGCGCCCTATGAAGGCTATGATTATTATAGTCAACAGGCGGCCCCAACGTGAGTATGACTTTTTCTTTTGTAAAGGGTTCCTGCTCTTTCTAGGGTCTGTTGACTAAATGCATCTTTGTGAAATGTTGTCTAGGGATACTGAATATTATGACTACGGACATGGTGAGGCCCAGGACACTGCATATGAGTCTTACAGTAAGTCTTACAGTAAGACTGTGTGCATGACAAAATACTGATGTGATGAATTGCACTTGGGGGTGATGGTAGACCATGTTTCCTGCTCTCTTGCAGCTCAAGATGACTGGGAAGGCTCCTGGTCCTCTGCTGGGGCTGGAGGCAAAGCTCCGCCTGCCAGACAGTCAAAAGGAGCATACAGAGAGCACCCATATGGAAGATACTGAGCGACTAATGGTAGAGAGTTGGTGCAACGACTGTCTCAAATTGTTGCCCAGTTACCTTTTTTAAAAGTAATTACCCTCATTTTCCCCATTTTATACTTCATTTTAGTTGTCTTATTTTTTTTTAAGAGCTATTTGGTTGAATGTATTATTTTTTTTAGGTGCAAATTGGTCATCAAAACCCGTTTGTCATTATTCACGTTGTTTATAGTTAATGTCCTTGTGACCAAAAAGACAAATTAGGTTGGGATTTGCGTGATATTTTGTATAAGTGTACGTTACAAAATCTCGCTATGGCGATTTTAACTTTTCTCTAGGCTGCCTATTTAAGTACCTTTTTTCACAAAAACATAATGTCCAAATTTAACAAGTTATCTTCACAATCTTGTTATTTACTAAACTAAAAATGTTATTTTAACTAATTGTTCTAAAAAAAAAAAAAAAAAAAGGTTTCAATTGGACTCCATTGTAACATGCATTTGTATTCAATACACTTTATAATTTTCAGAATAAAAATTAAGATGAAATTGACTAGCAATATGCTAAAAAATAGCAGCAGCCATTTCAATACTTGTATATTACAACTACAGATAAGCTTTTCAGTAAATGCGCCATCAAAATGCATTATACTTGTGTACATTTGGCTAAATATAATCCTATTTATATCCCAAATTGTATTTCTGCAGTGCGTTGTTTCAATAAAGTTTTTAGTTCAACCTAATCCATCTAAAATGGCATTTCCTTGAAGCCAAATGTATGATTTTGGCCTGTCAGCCATATTTTCACCTGACTAACATGTTTGTACACAACCTAATTAAAAGGAAAAAAAAAAATGAACACTGTTTTTCCTGTTTTATAATGTAGTATAAAGAACAAAGGTGTTGTCATTTTTTAGTTCAAATTTATGAAAGCGCTGCAAAATACATGTTTTGAATGAAGTAGTGCTTGAACATGTCTCTGTCATTAACATAAGTCTTTATCTCTAAGCTCTCGAGAGCATTGTTATCTCCGTCACGGGAAATAACTGAATCTCAACAGTATTTTAAATCAAGCTTACAGGGATCTTACTTGACTTTGATGCAAAGTCATGCTGGTGGGTTTTATAAAAGAAAAAAATCGCAGAGGAGAGGATTCTAAAAGCCAAAAGACCGCCATGAGAAGGTAAAAATAACCCTAACACTCTTTATTAGATATTTTTTTGTTTTCTGTGCAAACAAAGTAATAAAAGTACTTAAACTTTTTTTTTTTTTTAAGTTGGACGATACAATATTTCGAAGCAAAAATACAACTGCAAAACAAATGTCCCATAAAAAATATTTTATACCCCAATGCATTTGTAGAACGTGTCTATATTTATTCCTCAAAAATAAGTTTCAAATATTAAAACTTATCCCTCTAAAATGTAGTTTAGGGTGCATGACCTTTTGTTTTGCTGAGGTCTGAGCTTTTCTTGTCAAATCTCATTTGTCTTTCTCCATTTAGGTCCAGTCAATCATTGTGCAGATGAGGAAAGAAACGTCAAGTTACTGACTTTTAAGGTCTGTTTTAGCAGTTGTTTTTGAGTGCAGTAATGGCCTCATTCTCAACTCATTCTTTAAAATATTTTTCAGGATCTGGCTGAAACCAGAGGAGTTGCTGGATGCTTGTGGAAAACTGAAATGCTTCAATTTTGTATGTTGCTCTGTTTTTTTTATATTGATTGTATTTTTATAAAAATAAACTTTTTACAAAGTAATGTTTTGTAGCAGTTTGTGACAGTAAGGTGTACATAGAAGTACAAGTTGCATTGTCCAATAGAGGTGCACATTGTTTATTTTCCTCAATACTAATCACAAGTGTTTTCGAGGGCATTTTTCATGTGAGAAGGTTGGACCTTTGGATTACCCTTGGATAAAATAAGAGTGGAGGTGCCAGTGATGAAGGAAGTCTGGGCATCTTAAATAGACTGCTTTCCCCAGTACTCCCTGGAAAAATTGGATTCATCACTTTTTTTAAATGCAAAAATAACAAAGACAAAAGACGGTACAGATTTGCTATTGTATGTCATCTCTGAAATGCCTTTATTTAAATTGAAATGATGTCTGATTAATTTACAAATGCACAAATATAGTACCTCTTAAACACATATTTATATTATATATAACATAGTGTTGACTAATAAGGTCTATGATTCTTCATCACAGTATAGGCGATGTCACAGCATTTTATTTTAACTATAAAAAAGATAAGCTGGTATTAGTAAATGAAACGTTATTTGAAGGTTTGCTCCTTTAAGTGATTCTCCTCCCACTTCTCGCTCGCTCATCCGCGCCCCCATCCAGTAGTGGCTAGTTTCACATCAACAATGAGTGTCTTCGATGTTTCCAGTGTAAACTACGTTAGGGCTTTAGTCAATAATCTAAAAATCTTTTGCATCTAACTTGCCATTAATGCCACATAAAACATCAGAGGCAGGACACTGAATTTGCGACTGGGTAAGATTTAATTGTCTTGTCATTCCTGTTTGGTTGGTTGTTTGGTAGCTAGTCTAGTGCTGCTAGCCAAGGCCTCAATCTTTGTACTAAATCAAGCATGGTCTTGGCGGACACACTGGGGTCCCTCCCTCTTTGTGTTGGCCCACGTTGTTTTCGCCCAAACCCTATGCATCTAAAACAACCTGCTTTGATGCATATCTGGAGTAAGGAGTGAAAAATACCGTAGCCAGTGTGCTAGCCTCTAATGTCAGCTTCCGCAAACTCTCACTGTTATAAGGATGCTATACCATTACTGTAAGTTTTCTGTGGGAGACACTTGAACAGCCCGGGAATGTATTTCGTGTTTTTGTCTTAAGCAAAATATTTTTTTTTTTTTAACATTGTGCTAGTTAGACCATTTAGGCAAGGCGTTGGCATTAAATCAAAACAAGCCTTAAAATCTTTGTATAAATTCCAGATCTTGTATTGACAGTAGTTGCAGTAATGGCACTTTTTTACATTTTTCACTCTTTGTTAAAAAATAAATATATAGTATGAATCCATCCAATCTAAACTGTTGTTGTGTCCGTGGTAGACCGTAATAAACTGCAGAACTAGACGCACCTGTAAAGTGCACAGTGGGTGTGTCTGCAATGGCTGGTGGAAGGAGAGGTGCAAACCGGACCACATACTGCAGACCTCCACTGAGCAGCGAGCCAGGCTCAATGACCAATGGAAACCATTCAACCAGCTCCCCAGTCACGGGGGTACGCTCTCGTACCAGGTAACATGAGCTCGAATGCACTCAGGCAGCCTGTACAGTATGTTTTGTCTTGAAAGCACTTTGTCAATTGTTTCATTTACAGGAATGGTTCAGGCACGTGCATGTCCAGTCCTCCTCTAGCTGCGCAGACAGTGGTGCCTGTAAAGCACTGTAAAATCCCAGAGCTGTCTGTGGACCGTAATGTGCTGTTTGAGCTTCACCTTTTCTTCTGTCACCTGATTGCACTGTTTGTCCACTATGTCAACATCTACAAGACAGTGTGGTGGTACCCTCCATCACACCCTCCCTCACACACTTCTCTGGTTAGTATTTATTGACTGCAGTGAGTACTCTTGTATCTTGAGTCATGTACTAATTATAATCTTATCATTCATAGAACTTTCACCTGATTGACTATAACATGCTGGTTTTTACAATTATAATCTTAGCTCGAAGGCTAATAGCAGCAATAGTAAAAGAGGTGGGAGTATTTTCTGATTACTTTTTACATAAAATCCTTTTTACTGTCAAATAAAACAATAATTTATATTTCTTTTGTTTTTGCAGGCATCACAAAGTGGGAAACTATCCTTCCCACATTCTATCTTTTTAGTGATGGCAAGGTTTGCTGTGCTAACACTGACAGGCTGGAGTCTATGCCGCTCACTCATATACCTCTTCCGGACATATTCAGTGCTCAGCCTTCTCTTCCTGTGTTACCCGTAAGTCTGCGTGTACTGCATAAACTCAATTAGTGCGCAAATACACATTTCTATGATAAATGTATTGCATGTAGTATCATCTAAAATCTTTTTTATATAAAATTTCCTTTCTATTTGTGTTGGTATTTCTGCAATTGTTCTGTAACGATTGATTCATTGATTGATCATATATATATATTATTTTTAATTATCAACCATGTAAAAAAAAATTCTCAGTTGAAGAATTGACTTTTGACATTTCAGAATGAAAATCTCAAAATGATATTCTTCTATATATGATTTTGACATAAAATGAAATGAATTTCTTTGTTATTTATGTATTTATTCTTATCTGTAAAATATGTATTATATAATATATAAGCATAAAAACTCCACAGTACATAATGTGTGTCAGATGAAACATTAAGATGATGGCACTGACCAAACTACTTGTCTTTTTTTGTATTTAATCAGATTTGGAATGTATATCCCCTTCTTCCGGCTGAGTTGTGACTTCCGGCGAGTAGGTCCTCTCTCTCCTATCGCTAGTATTGGTTCAAAGGAGGTGGGTGGTTTGGGCCGTGGTAAAGACTACTTTACCGTGCTAAAGGAGACGTGGAAGCAGCACACCAGTCAACTGTATGGTGTCCAGGCGATGCCCACTCACGCCTGCTGTCTGTCGCCTGATCTCATCCGCAAGGAGGTGGAATACCTTAAGATAGACTTCAATTATAGGATGAAGGAAGTTCTGGTCAGCTCTATGCTCAGTGCTTACTATATTGCCTTTGTACCAGTCTGGTTTGTCAAAGTAAGTAATGTCTTATTTTTTTTAAACTAAATTCTTATGTAACTATATTAAATGTCTCCAATTATTTTTTCAGAGTACACAATATGTAGACAAACGCTGGTCCTGTGAGCTCTTCATTCTGGTGTCCATCAGTACTTCAGTCATCCTCATGAGACACTTGTTGCCTCCACGCTACTGTGATTTGCTTCATAAAGCTGCAGCTCATTTAGGTTGCTGGCAGAAGGTGGACCCATCACTCTGCTCCAACGTCCTACAACACATGTAAGACTTGGCGATAAACTACATGACTTAAACACTTGGTTAAAGCTAAGAAAAACAGCTGAAATGCTTTATATTTATGTTTTCTCAGATGGACAGAAGAATACATGTGGCCACAAGGAGTTCTGGTCAAACATAATAAAAATGTCTACAAAGCAATGGGACATTATAATGTTGCAGTACCATCAGATGTGTCACATTATCGCTTTTATGTGAGTATTTTCTATTATCCCTTTTATATTTCAGCCTTCTTGGGTATTTTGCCTTTAATCAGTATATGGACATTGTAGTAACATAATTTTCTTGTTCTATATTCCAGTTCTTCTTTAACAAGCCTTTACGAATACTGAACATACTCATTATATTGGAAGGTGCCATGATTTTCTACCAACTCTACTCATTGATATGTTCAGAAAAATGGCATCAAACTATATCACTAGCTTTGATTCTGTTCAGCAACTACTATGCTTTCTTTAAGCTTTTAAGAGACAGGATTGTGTTAGGAAAGGCATATGCATATTCTAACAGCTCTTCAGACCAGAAAATCAGTTAGACCCAAGTCATTGTTCATAACTTTTGCTGTGGAACAAAACAAATATACAAAGGGGCTCTGTTTTTTGTACAACTGCATTTTCATGTTTTTGTTCTCATCTGCCATAATAAAAGAGATATTTTTGTATTACATTATGTATTTGATTTTATTTGAGCGGTTGGGGTGACTGTGTGCAGTCGCTTGTAACAGACAGAGGTGGGGACTTGCAAGTTGTGACTTGTCATTCACACTTGAGTCACTATTTTTAGGACTTGTGACTTGACTTGATAAAATGGACTAAGATTTGGGACTCGAAGGGCGGTGAGTTGGACCTGATTCAGACTTGAGGCCTGTGACTTGAGAAAACTTGAGGAGCACTCTTAAATCTGAAATCTTTTCATTCTGACCATAATGATTCACACCAAGACATTTAAAAAGGAAAAAAATAACAAAATTTCTACAAATCTTAGATACTCTATAAATACTCATATAAATACTGTATACTATGATTTTTTTAAGTATAATTTTAAAAAGTCATAAATTGCAAAAATCTAAGCTATTTGGTACTTTGGTTTAAAGACTTGAAATGACTTGAAGCTCAAAGGAGACTTGGACTTGACTTGGACTTAAAGACCCAGTGACTTAGACTTGTCTGTCTTTGACTTGGGACTTGACTCGGACTTGAGGTCAAAGACTTAAGACTTGCAAAACAAACACTCTGGTAACAGATAATACTATTCTGTCCAGTAAGTCAATTATCACCTGTTCCTGATGAGTTATGAAAGAGAATTAACTTGAGCCAGGGACAATGCTACGGTGGTGTATTGCAATACACCACCGTACAATGCAAAACCCCTTGACTGAAAGTTTGAATCTGTAAAAATCGGATCTTTGGCGCCATCATGTGGACGTTTTACATACAGCATATATCTTAACTGTACATCCATTAAGCAAAATGTGCGCAAAAGAAGATGATGATGCATTACAAATGTGGTGGACGTAAAAAGTTGTAAAGAGCCCCTCAAATTTTTATCCACGCATCATCATCATCATCATCATCTGTCCCGCACAAAAGAGCTCTGGCCCTTTAAGAGAGCGATAAAGACGACGGCTCCGCGCAGCGCGTCAGGAGAGTCTCCAGCGCAGCGCATCGGTGCCGCTCGTTGTTTATAGTCAATAGATTTTGCAGCAGGCAAATGTAATACAACTTATTTTTTAAAAGGGCTAACCATTCTTTAAGTTTATTGTGAGATTTGCAGACCACAATAAGTCGCGGCAATGCTCTCAGTCGGTTTGTTTACGGGTGCGTAATTGATTCGGTAAGTCTCATCCGTAAATCTGTTTACTCTCCAGCGTTAGGTCCTTTGTCCTTGTGCGCATCATTATCACCATAAACACAGAAAACGACACGGGGTGTTTCGTCCAAATTGTGTACGCGAGGGGCCATCTTTCCTTTTCACTAGACCTTGGCGTGTACTGTCCATGTGTTCATAATGACAGCTCGATTGCTAGCTTACAACATTGATTTCCATTGTTACATAAAGTAATTTGTTCACGAGATGCCATAATACGCCTTTAATTACGTTTAAGTAGCACAAAAAGCTGTTTTTCTGTCGAAACTGTGACATAAAATATGAGTGATACCTTAAAATAAGACTAAGACTAAATAAGACTTTCATGTCTCTTTTGTAAAGTGCCCTTAATCTGTTTAGGTCTTTTCAATTCAGTTTTATTTTCTTTCATCTGTTCGTGAAGTTACTACTGCAACACTGCAAGGCTCCCCTGCATAGACAAACTGGCACTATTACTTCCAAGAGCCAGGCGGACTAACTGTTTAACAGAATGCAGTGCTTTTAACTTCCTACCTTTGTGTTTTTCAGGACATCCTGCAGCAGCTCACCGGTGCCCCACACATTATCACATAGAAGACAAAACCAAGTCATCATGGAGGACAAACGCAAAAAACGCAGTCCAAAGGTGTCTCTGCCTCAGCCTCCCCCCCCTCCCATCAACCCTCGCAAACTCCCTGCGCTTCCTGCCAGCAAGAGTGCCACCTTTTCCCTAGGCCTGCCACAGCCTCCCTCACCCAAAAACAGAGGCAAATACAAGAGGTCCATCGGGGCTCCGGGGCAACCCAAGGACATGCCTACTGCAGTCATTGCTCCCCCAAAAATCACAAGGTTAGTTCCTAGAAAGGTTTGGTTACAAATGACTAGATAGAAAAGAATTGTCATTATAAATTCTATGTTTGGACAGACCACACAAAGAAAAGCCCAAGGCCCCCCAGCCTGCAGGGCCCAGCAAGGTTGTCCAGTCATCCCCCCTGCAGCACTCCTTTCTTACCGACGTATCTGATGTGAGAGAAATGGAAGAAGGGCTCCTCAACCTCCTCAACGACTTCCACTCAGGCAAACTGCAGGCCTTTGGTAAGACGCAGCCTCCAGGGGAATATTCTGTTACAAGTAGAGAGGGTAGGCTGTTAAAATGACTTTGCTAGATGAAACTAAGTGAAATTAAATACACACTTGTCACTGGATATTTCTGGTGTTTCAGAATACAGAATGTACTTATTTCCCCTTTTATTAGAAACACAACCAAAATAATGCATATTTACAGTTACAGTAATAATTTTCCTGCTGCCCCCAGCTCAGCCTCAAGCAGCACCTGCCTCCCCATGACTTTCAGAAACAGCAATTAGGACTGTTGTCATAGCAATTGGCAATTTAAATATAATGCTATATTTTTTTGAAAGGGCTAAAAGTCTTATAATCTTGCATGTATCCAGAAGCTGAAGCCCTTTAATTAAGTGCCAGCATGTCTGCGTAATTCTTCACTCTCCACGATGTTGATCTTATAGTTATTTGGCTTTCTACATTTGTGTTTTAGGTAAAGTGTGTTCCTTTGAGCAGCTGGAGCATGTGCGGGAGATGCAGGAGAAGTTGGCCAGACTGCACTTCAGTTTGGACAGCCATGTGGAGGAGCTGTCTGAGGACCAGAGGAAAGGAGCATCTGATCACAACCTGGAACACCTGCTGAGTAACGTGAGCACAATACTGCACTACTGTTGTTTAGTTTATGCATGAAAACACGAAAGAATTGCAGGTCTTAAAAATTTATATATGGATAAATTTCACTATTTGTGTATTTATGTATGTACATTTATTGTCCTGTGGCTGTTTACAATTTTTTTTTGCTTTATTATGATTGAAAAACATTCAAATAGATAGGAAGTGTCTATAGCCTAAATGTGATTTGAGTTTTTACTAATACCTTATGAATATAACTAGTAGGATTACAGACAATTTATGGGTGGATTTCCACTATTTGTTTTACATATATATTGCCTCAAATACTAATTGCCATAATGATTAAAGGAACACTATGTAAGTTTTTGGTTCAGGGTCCATCATCTTCTTGTTTCTGTGGATATGTCATTGCTCTGTCTAGAATGTTCCACAGTATGACATTAAACATCTTTGCCTTACATTTATTAAATTAAACAACTGGTTTTATAGCTCAAAAATTCTAGAAAAAAACAGGCATTCTTACTATAAGAGAGGTTGAATCCACTAAGGATGTAACAATAACCGAAATATCGTGATATTGTATCGTCAAAGTTCTCACAATAATATCGTGGATCATCACAATATATCGAATTACAAGTGTCTTTGCTTAAATTAAGAGTTATGATGCAGCAATAGCTAAAAAAAAGAAAGAGGGAACTACACAGACCATGATCCTTTGATACATTTCAGTGCAGACTACAAGAAGAAATAACAGTTCTAAGCACTTTTAAGTCTTAGTTCTTCGGATTAAGTCTTGTCATTTTAAGAGGAAAAAGTAGCATATTTTGTTAATATCCACAAAATATTGCAATAAATATACCGTGAGCAGTATATCGTGAAAACATCGTACAGAGAGATTTGGATATCGATACATCCCTAATCGTGAGCCTCCCCACCATATCGCGAGCTTTCCCACGATATCGCAATAAATATCGTACCTTGAGGTTCATACAGTGACGTTATCGTATCATGAGACTTGGGTATTGTTACACCCCTACTCTCCACAGATCTGACCTGTAACTTGGTCTGGTTTAGTCTCCATTAAGACAGAAACTGTGACACATTCCAGCCAAAGAAATATCATCTCTGAAAAAAAGCAATTAATGAACTCTTCACCAGAAAAGTTACACAATACACCTTCAACCAAGTGGCACAGCAATTATAGCAAGAATGTTACAGGAACAAAGGCTTATCTTCCTGCTCGGTCACAGAGTGTCCCCCTGTGCCTGCACTGCAGTTCCTTACAACTCCTGACAGATAAACAACCTTGAAGGATGCATATTTCCCATTGGTGCACCTTTTAAATATGCTACCTTAAAACCATCTATTGCAAATCACAAATTCTAATGTATAAAATATGTTGACGGTTCTATTTTTGGCACTGTTTAAGATACGTGGTGTCTAGGAACGCCTCTTACTTGCACGCTTAGGCTCTCAGTGCTGAAACTCGCAGTGCTGTGTGCGAGTGAAGTGAGAAAAACCTTGAGCTGGTCACAGATAGCTGATAGGAATATCTTGTTCAGGGGCATGGAAAACTATAATAAGATGTGATTTGTTTTGTTTGGGTTAACTACATACTCAGATGATTGTAGTTTAATCAGGTTTATGCTGTTTAGTTTAATTTAATGTTGTTGTTGCTGTTTTTGCTCATTCACTTTTTTGTTTGTTACATTGCAGCTGGAAGAACTAAGCACCTCGATGTATCCTTTGGTTGCTGTCAAAATCCTCATGTGTTTCTTAATTGAAAACATTTATGGTGTAAATCTTTAACATCACTACTCAGACAAAAGCTCAACTTGGCTGAGAACCAGGATCTGCCCAAAACGTCTGCTCCCTGTTGAGTGAGGGGTAAAGGATGGCAACTACTCACTTGGTCACAACATACAACTTGCGCTGGTTGTCATGGCATTGATCCCGCTGCCTTAGCAACAGGGTAAAAAGATCTATAGGTGAAGGGGCTATTTTTCCACCTGCTCCAGGGAACTCCACTTGTGACATTTAAGAATATTCAATACAACAGAGCACAAATAATGAAGTAAGGAAACATAACATTGCTAAATTAAGCAATATATGCAATTTATTACATAAGGAACTTGCTATTCTTGGCTATTATTAAACACAAAAATATTAAATTGTTTTGATGCTTGACATTTAGCTTTTGACTTATTCACTGTGAATTTGTCAAGCATTTCCATTTTAAGAAGGATCATTTAAGCAGATAATTTCCTATATAGGTTTTATTTATCTCTATTTTGTGTAAATGACTATGGTACCGATTTGTCATTGCTGCCATTTAGCTTTAGCGATTTGTCACTAGAAGCACAAGCAGAAACAACCCAAAGCCTTATTGTATGATATGTATGTTCATTGGTATCTCTTAGAATGGTCTTGAGGGCTTCATGACCAGAGTAGAATATTTTTTAATGTATTATACAAAGTTGTTAAATTATTCAAGCAAAATCTTTCTCTGTTTGCTTTCTGCTTTTAATTACATAACTTATATTGGTCTGTAAATGTTAAGAAGACACATGGGAAATGAATTACAGAAATAAACATTTTATTTATAGTAGTCTCTGTTTCCAAATGCTCACAAGCTTAGTACTGTACAGTATAGTGAAAGGGCTACTATAAAGACTGGCACTACACTCAAGGACAGAGAATCTGTTGATTAGGCATTGTCAGATTTACATCTGAACCCTTATCCCTTTCCCTGGTTCAATGCCTTCAAACCATCATCGATGTAGGCAACAATGAAATGTTTATCTTAAGTGGAAATCAGTTCTGTCATACATAAAAGGCCAAACAGTACAGAGCATGATTACAACACAACAGACACATTTGATACTGTTTAATTATACAGCATACATGAATATGATGTTAATACTGTGCAAATATACATCTGAGCAGTACACAATAATTTTTTATAGAATTTGTGTTATCTCACAAAACATCAATATAAGATTAAAAAAAAATTACATCACATTTAATAATACAGCAAAAATATACAACTCTCATGTCCCTGTCTTGAACCGTTTACTTTTTGTGCATTTCATTGGTACATTCTGTTAGTCTTGATCTTTTCTACAGTACATTAGAATCTGAAAAAGCAATGATAAAATCTATAGAGTTTAACATGAGTTCATATTTAAAAGTGCAAAGAGAGCAGTTTGTGTACATGAAACCTGATGTTCTCAGGTTTTGTACCAGAGAAAATCTCACTGAGATAAGAATAAGAGCTCCTAATATTAAAGGATGTTGTCTTAATTGATATAAAAGTGCAGGCACAAGGAAAATCTTCAAGTAATCTTCAAAATCTGTATGTGAGTTTCCATTTATTTTATTGTTCGCAGTACCTCAATGAAACTTTTGTGGACATTGGTGGATTGAGAAGCAGCGCAGTCGCTCAGGCTGTGTCCCATCTGGGCATAAAGGGCTTGGCACAGGTTGACTGTTGCACCCCTCACACTGCCACCTCGCCCATGAACTGTGCCGCTGTGAGTAGATGTTCCCAGGAGGTGCCACAGTAACGGCAGCACCTTCTGCTCCACCATGTTGGGCTTGCGGGGGTAAAGTTCACTCACAATCTCTGAAATTAAAGACATCCAAAATGTTTTGTTTTTTTTCAATATCATTCATCATCTTTTATTTATAAAAACCTTTCAAAGCTTTTGGACTGACAAAATAAAGAATCATACCTGCAACCTTTTCAATAAGATCAACTTTTGCTTTGCCACTTAAAAATTGAGCCTTGGTACAAAAAAGCTGAAGAAGGAGTACATTATCTTGAGGAAAGAAAGAAAATGCACTTGAAACCAATGTTTACAACATTTCACATAGTGCTGAGCTACAGTAATTATACTTAAATACATACCAAGATTTGATATTAGTGCATTTAGGGCTCCAATAGCAGCAGTGTAAACAGCATTATTCTTAGAATTGAGGTGATTGTCAACAATTGCTGGGACAAGGATGTTAACCACTTGGGATAAGTTGTCTTTCAACAAAGGGATAATTTTCTGCAGGGATTCTAGAGCATAAAGGTTGACCTTGCTGTTTGATTCCTGCAACCGAGACCTGAAGACATCAAAAACCTGAAAGAGAATATCAAAATGAACTTATGAACGTATACAAATCCTTGGTCCATGCATAGCACTTGTATACATACTGGGAATATAGTATTGATAACCACATTGGGATTGTTCTGGCAGTCTGCCACTAGCTGGTCGATTCCCTTGATCCTCTCTCGGAAGTCCTTTGAACCCAGCAGACTTGACATCTGCTTCACATATTCAGTCTTATCAGCTATAGTCTGTGCAGTTCTGCAGTTGTAGAGAGCATTTGATTCTCTGTAAATGATACACATGTATCAGCAATTTGGCCTTTGTGAAGTAGTCCAAATTATTGTGTATGAAAAACCTTGTGGTTTGATTGAGAGGTTCTCTGGTGAGAGATGAGGCTCTGACTGTTCCGCTGCCTGGCAAGGAACGCCTGCCTCTGGCTGACTGGTTGTCTGAGGGCATGTCACCAAGACCCTAAAAAGGAGGTTATAGTGGGAAGATGACACAAAACACTTCTTTAACAAGATACATTTAGTCAGATCAGTTTATACTATACCTTTGTCTTTAAAGTTAGGACAGTGTCTCGGATAGTTGGTAGCTCTTTGGTGGGAACATATTTCTCAAGAATCTTTTCAAAGTCGGGATGTGATGACAGACAAAGCAGCATGCGTCGACCAAAATACCTTTGGATTTAAATTTTATTTTTCACACATAAATGGTAGCTTATTACTATATCATACACAACCAATATTATGAACAGAAAGTATCAAACCTGGCTTCTTGTGAGGAGTCTTGTGACAGTTTTGTAATCGCAGGCAAGATCCTGTCTGTAAGTTCTTTACCTCCAGACAGGACACGGGCAGCACCAACCTTGTCCACTAGATTAGCCAGATGCTGAGCGGTGTACTTCCTCACAACAGCATTAGGATGACTAACAGAGGCAAAAAGATTTACAGTTAATGGACACGGTCAAGTGAGAGAACAAGTTTGGCACACATAAAACGACTGACCCAAGGCCTCCAGTAAGTAAAGCATGAATACTCCGCGTTGGAGTGCAGTGCTGCACCATGCAGTCTAGAGCTGCATCCACATCCTGTCTAATGAAGGCATTGATCTCTCCTGCTTTGTGCAGTAAGGCTTTAACTGTCCCCTCCAGCTCTTGGTCCATTGTTTTCTGCAGATGACTAAAGAAGTCACCAAGTGTGCACACAGCAGCCCTTGACACACCTGAGCGCAGATTTTTAACCTGAGACCCATAAACACTTACTTAAATACAAATGTTATGTCATTATTTTAAACATGTTGCACAAATACACTACCTCTTGAGTGAGTAAAAGGCACACGTCATGAAGCCTGCTCTGGAGAGTGTCAGAGTGGTAGTTTGCCAAGCTGCGCAGAAAAGTAAGTCCTTCTATCTTCTTCTCCCTAGATTATAAAAAACTGTCTTCAGATGGGGGTTCATGTCAATGCCACATTGTAGAATATGTAAACTCTCACCAGTCATCTGAGCTCAGGAGGTTGAAGCTCTGGGTCAGTGCAACTTCAGGCTTGGAAAATGGAGATAGTTCAGCAGCTTCTGAGAAATTGTTTTTGTGGCCCAGAGAAGAGATCAGCTCATCTAAAATGCCATTAGGACAAAAAACACAAATACAAATGAAAATGCATAAGTCTAATATAATTACATAAAGGTTTTATGAGACTTTATATGTTGATTTTGTTAGTTTTAGCTATAATTTTCTAAATTAATGTTAAGGTATCTTTATTTGACTTCTTTATAACTAATTTGTCTTGGACTCAAGGGCTATGCTATAGCACATATAAAAAGAGGAAAACTTAGTTGTATAGTTCTAAGTGCATTATAATTGCAGTTGCAGTTGATGCTTTACAAATCCACTTACCTGGGCAGTGAGATTGTGAGGCCCGTGTCCTGCCAAGGCTAGCTGCCCGCCTCAGACGGGACACACTTTTGGGGTTTGGGGGCACTGCAGGAGGACTGGGCTGGTGGGAAGGAGTGAAGCTCTTAACAGGGGTCTGGGTTTCTGATGGGCTGACAGGAGTTCTCGAAGAGATGAGGAGGTCAGTTGGAAAAATATTAGATTTGGTAGAGCTCAGTATGCTGCCATTTAGATGGAGATCTGAAAAAAAAGATGGCATGAGCAACAATCCTCTTGTGTATCAGTAACTGGATTTCAGTTTTTTTTTATGTTTATATGACCTCATGTACAGAAATTTATATTTATGAAATGCACAGATCCACACTGAATGTTTCAAGGGCTTGCCTTTGATGATTAATGGTGTATTTTCACCTGTGGGTGAATCAGACAGCATCTGCTGGACACGATGGCGAATTCTTTCTCGTGTTTGTTCTCCATGACTTAGCTCATCAGACATGTTTGTGCGCTGATGCCGTATTTTATCCCGGCTTAAACGTACAGCTCTTGTACTGTCCTGAAAAAAACAACACATTGTTTTAAAAGACACCCTTCTGATAATTGTTGTTTTCAGGATGAAGACACTAACCTTGGCCACATCTGAGCGTGGGCTGTCATCACTTTCAGTCTGCATGCTAGCCATGTTTGTATGGCTGTTTATTGCTGAGTACACGTCGCTGGGGGGCTTGGCTACCAAGTCACCCTGCTCAAGTGTCAAGGAAGCACAGCCAAACATGCCTAAACAATGAGGGCCACAAGGAAAAGAGATTTATACAGAAATATATTAATAAAACAAGACTTTTAGTCACAACATGAGCCACAACAAACTGACCTCTTCCAATGACTCCTTCAAGCATATCGACACCTGATGAATTCTTGCTACTCTGGCTGTGAGAGCCTGAGAATGAAATCAGAGAATGAGCCTTAATTATTTAAGCACAAACATCATTGTTTATGCTGTAATTAGGCACTAGTGTTTATAACTGCTATACCTTTGGCACCTTTCATTCCTCGGACTGATTCCCGTGGAATGGGTTTGACCATTTGATGTGAAATTTCTCTGTTCTCATTCTCAGCTTTAGTTGTTCCATTTGTGTATGACAAGGAGTGTCCAACAACACCCACTTCACTTGACCACTCATTCCTCTGAGACAATCCTTAACAAAAATAAATAATTTTTGTAAATACTGTACATACGGGGAAAGTGGCACATAAGCCAAGAATGTACTAAACCTTGGAGGCTGCTGAAGTCCATGGACACTGAGGATCTCAGTTGTGCAGAAGGCATGCTTGTAAAGTGAGATTTCACCCCAAAGGACAAAGAATTTCTTGGGCTGTTATAATAAGAAGATTGTCAGTTGGTTGCATTCATATGTCCTAACTAAAGAATCAAACACTGAAAATTGAAGCAATACAGGGGAAGGGGGGGGCATTAAAACATTAAATTTTAAATGGCTTAAGTAGCAGAGATACATTTCATATCATTCTGAAACCTTTGGATAGAACGTGAACCCACAGATCTTTACATGCACACATGAGGAGATTTGACTGACGATAAGACACAGTGGTGAATCAAAACCCTTTTTCAAAATCAAAAACCCTTTTTAAAACAGCATTTACATTTTTGATTACCTAGTTTTTATTCCATTAAGGCTGCAGTTGACGGCAGAGCCAAGGCTGGAGAGCCCGCTTTCACTCGCTGAGCTTGTAAGCATCGGTGGAGTACGTGATGGTGAATCTAGACCCAGGTCTAACCTCACAGCTGAATCCGGACTGTCTGGATCCACATCTGAGTTACTAAGGGTCACTTTGGCCCTTCTCTTGGCAGCACTGTTTCGTAAGGAGCGCAGTGAATTCAGCATCTGGAGGTACATAGCCATGAATTTGTATCTGAATGATAGAAAATGAAAAGCATTTTAAATGTAGACAATTGCTGACCTCCTGCATGTCCAAGGGGTCCTCCTCTTCAAGGTTTTGGTCCATGCTGTTATTCCCAGGGTCTGTACTAAAATCTCTCATTTCTAATTGGTCATTCTGTTCTCCTGCAGGGATAACCGGGGACACAGAGCTATTTGCTCTTGTACTATTAAGTGCTCTTCGAAATGAGGATGTTGAAGAAGAACTAACAAGTGAAGCACGAACAGGCCTGGGAGAACACCGACTTTCTTTTCCATCTTTAAGAAAAGAGAAGAAATAAACAGAAGTTCATATCTCTGTATTCTCCATAACTATTCTAATGTGTGTTACCTTTTGTAGAGCTCGATACATCTCTCCAGGGGCTAGGATCTCGCTGGTGAGGACTAGTGTCTCTTTTGTTTGGCCAAGTATTCGACATGGAGAGAGGGGAGTCTACATGGCGACGAGGGAGAGTTGGAGTGGGGACACTGCCTGGAAGTGAGGCCAGTGGATAGGAAGGCAGTAGAAAGGAGCCAGTAGAGGAAGACTTGGTTGGTAGAGAAAATGTACGCTCAACACTAGGGTTTCTTGAGAGCATACTTCCCTTGGCTGTCACAGTAAAAAAAATATTTACATATGTTCAATAAGACTTTTACACAAGTTAATATTTGTGGTTACTATGAGATGATGTCTTACTTGAATCTATTTCAGAGAGGTTTGTGGTCTTGAACATGTCCTGGTCAAGGTTAAGGCTACCACTCCTTTTGAGGCGCACAGGGGATTCATTCCTTCTTGATGACTGGAGCCTTGGAGGTTCTGCTGAGCCTGAAAGAAGCAGGGCTGTAGTCGACTAAAAGAAATTCTTGGGGGACTAAAGATATGTCCTGCCAATCGATTAGTCGAATAAAAATGGGGCATGGCAGAAGCTCTCAAAACTAAAACATATCTATATCTGTTTGAAACTGCACCCACAAGATTACACCTGCAGGGGAGTTCATGCAAAAACAAGTTTTCATGCAGAAAATAAGTACTGGAAAACAATATTTATAAAGTCAGATTCAACTTGTATGTCATGCCTTACTTACCTCCTTTTTACTAAAAACTACTAAATCTTCAGCTAACACACTCACTAACCTCTCCTTTCTTCTGTTGTCCCATATAAATTGTTATGATCTACATGAAATTATAAGTTGACTAAAACACCACTGGCAGATTTATCAACTAAAGAACCTAGAAAGAAGCACTTTTATTATTTATTAACCTTCCTGACAGTACAATATGCAGTGTTTTTATAGTACAATATACACAACATAGTCCTGAAAAAACATGTATCACTTAAAGACTTTTTTCATATTCAAAATTCAACATAACCCACATCACTCTAAAACACGAAGGAAGAAACACTTACTGAAACTGGGTATGTAGGTTTCTGGGCTTAGTTTTCTTGAGAAAGGGAAAAAGTCTTCATTGGTAACCTTAGAGAGTATAAAAAAAACAGCTCCTATGAATAACTATACAGCAGTAATGTAAAAGAATCCTTAAACAGAATCATCAGTGAAATTCCATCCTCTGTTCTGAACAAAGGGATGTAGTAGACATGACAAACTCAAACAAAAGGGTTGGCCTTCGCATGGGTCATCAGGTTCCTCGATAGCCCAGTATTTAATGCACATTGTCACAAAATGTTAGAGTGATAGGCCTGCTACGATAAATACAACATATATATCGTTATAGTTATCGTTCAATACATGACAGATGGAACAATATATTTTGAGTGTCAATATTTATCACGCAAACTTACTACTGTGGCCAATTCTACTATTTATTGCAGTTCGTGTTTTAAACCATATTGTACATTTTAGTAGTTTTTTTGCTGATAATCCTACTTCCTAGGGTTATTTTGTCAGCGGCATACATACATTAGTTTAAATAGTATAGTTTATCGTCTATATTTTCTTCAGCAATATATCGTACTTCAAATTTTGTTATTGTGACAGGCCTACAGAGTGGGTTGCTCTGAATCAGTGCTTATCCTTTGCCTGCCTTTGAAAACACTTGACTGTTTAGTTCACCTGATTCGAGTGTAGTGACGGTAAACGCTGTAGAGCACTCAAAAGTGATTGCAATTAATGCTACACATACAAAATGGCTTTGTTTCACCAACATCCCTGGGATCTGAGCAATTATGTTTCACCCTCTGCTATTAGGGTTGCTAAGAAACATACTGCTGGAGCTGTAAACAAAAGATTTCCAAACATTAAAATAAATATATATGTTCACTATTTTCTGTGAGCATATTTGAAAGATATACACTGCAATCTGTGATAGAGCTGAGGAAGCCTTGATATAGAAAGAATGTGTGGGAAGTTGTTGAAAATGAGTCAAATATGTCCAAGAATAGGATCCTTGTGGTACATGCTTGTTTCCCCTACATATATATTTATAGTACCTTGAGGTGTTCATTAGAATTCAACTTCTTAATGATATTGTAATGTCACAGTACAGTATATTTTAGGGATTGTGATTTCTTTTTTTATGATTATATGTGTAATACTATTTTAATGTGTCCCTTTTTCCATATACAAGTGAGCCAACTCTCTAGTTTCAACTTTTAAAAGGTCAAGACACAAAAATCATAATGTTTACAAATAAAAGAGCTGAATATGCTGAGAGATGACAGTATGTGCCTCACCTTTCCATCAGGTGTATTGCATTGCTGGTCATTCTCGGTGGATGACAGAGTAATCATCTCCCAAGGCAGTTTATTCTTCCCTTTTCCTGCGCTCACAATCCTCCTCTGAACAGGCATATCATCAGAACCGAGACTGCTGTAGCCATGTAATCTGTCGCAGTCTGGTTCGGTCCTGGTACTCCTCGCGCTGCTAATCCTCCCACCGTTCATCACCCAGTCCAAATCAGCTCCGGTCTGCCCTGAGCTCCGTTGTCCTGGTTTGGGCACTATCAATGCATACTCCACAATACCCTCTGGGGAGAGTTTAGGGAGAAAGCGCCTGGCCCTTCTTGCTTGTACGGCTGCCATGAGACCCTCAGCATCCTCGTTAAGCTCAACCATGTCAACAGCTTTTATTAAGGGCTGCTTCTTCCCTGTGTCAAGACAATGGTCGAAAACAGCAAAAAGCTCCAATGCAGCAAGTCGCACTTTTCTTTTGCCATCTGCGAGATATGGGGCGACCTCATGACAAAGCTTAGGAATGTTAAAATTCTTTCTTGGATAAGTGAGCAAAGCAACAGTGATGATGTTAAGGACATCTTCTCGTATCCTTGAATTTTTGTGTTTCAAGTTGCCTATAACTAGATCCAATATTTGCTGTGGTGCTATCACTTTCATCAGCTGCCGAAACACATTCATATATTCATTCCTGGTGATAGTACGGGTGTCCCCAAGAGCTTTGAGAGCCACATGAATAATTTGTTGAAAGTGTTTGTTTAGTCTATTATCTAGCTGCTGAATGAGTAAATTCAAAACTTGTAGGGTGCCATACAAAACTTTAAAATTACTATCATCCAGAAGGCGAGAAAGGAAATGTATAAATTCTTCAATACTGTCAGATGGGATAGACAGTATGTCCACCTCTGACAGAATTTGTTTAAGTTTTTCCACACCATTTGTACGGTTTTGGTAATTTTTAAAGTCCAAGAGCTGCTCATGTAACTCTTGGGGAATTAATCCTAGTATCATTATTGAGAATGGCAAGGTGTTGTCAAACTGGAGAATTCAAGGAAGAAAATGCAACCAGGTGAGGACAGTGATATCCCTCTTCTTTTCTTGCTTGCTTGCTTGGTGTTTTCATTTTAGCAGTTGGTGATGGACAGTCTTGTTGTTATTGCTTCAGCCTAGGGAACATCACAGGCATTAGGATGTGTTCGTAACAATGTAATTCTACAGCAATATGTTATACATGTGTAATGCAAACACCATAATTGGCCCTCGCCACTATTATTGTGGGGTATTGTTTTTGCTCGGTTTCTTACGCTCTATTATTATTATTTTTCCTTGCAAAAGATCTCAATTTTGAGGGCCTAAACGTCGACGAAAAGTTCCCAAACCGGGGTCCAGATCGATCGGCCCGGCGAAAAATTCGATAAAATGGGCATCGCGACAATGACCCGAGTGACCCGACTCAACAGCGCCGCCTAGAATTGGACCCCTATGGGAGTGGGGACAGGCAAAGTTTGTCGCATGGAAACGAAATTCGGGACAGTGATAGAGAACAATGAGACAAGCCAAAAGATGAATTGGAGCATGACCCTATGACGAACAGGAAGTCGGCAATATTGGATCAAACATTCGCCGCCGTTTTGACTTGTGGGTCTACAAAAAGATTCAAGTCCCCGGGGTTTGGTCCAAATGAGCTCAGATTTTACATGTCACATCTACAGACATGAACTCACAGAAGTTGCCAAATTTTTTTGGGATACTCCTTACGGTTCGCCCGTAGCACGCCGGCGAATAACGCCTTCATTTCCTGTTTTTTCGGTGACCTGTCACGGCCACAGGCATTGGCCTAGAGAACTCAAATTCAAATCACAATTGCGTGATCCAGGCCTGAATGTGATGAAATATGAAATTTAATAAAAGTGAACTCTATAGCGCCCCCTAGCATAGACGTGAAACGTCAACATTATCGGATTAGTACCAAATTCGGGACATACATTCTATGTATGATTACAAGCAAAAAAGTCTATTACGGACATGATGCATTTTCCACTATTGGCCAGCAGGGGCGCAAAGACTCCCCCAAAAAATAGTTAAAAAATGATTACACCCACAGGCTTAGTCCCATCGTGCTGAAATTTGAATCACTAATGCCTGATCACGGCCTGAATATAATACACTATAAAACATATGAATACAATTTGTCTAGTTACAATATATGATGAAGCTCACTGTCTGTCTTGAGGGTACTCCATTCAACCACTTGTGGCTGATAGAGACTGTATCAAGGCTACATATGTAACACGATACGCTCACAAATTAAATACCATTTATCCTGTTCATGCGGTATTAAACTAGTTACTCCGCAGATATTTAATACAGCTATAGCCACAATCCGTTATAAGCATATAGTGTTTTTCTATGAGACATTAACGACACAAGTTCATTAGCCCTGTTAAACTCACAGCATTGGGTTTTGCAGGTATGTATGTAACAGCAATGCTCTCCTGTCTCAGAGACTTCAACGACCCTTCTGCTTTATACGATAGTAGCAATGCTAACAAAGTTAGTAGGTTATATTTAACAGCTAAAAACAGACCTCGCATTTTTGCTGCTCCCCTTCTTTGACGCTCGACGAAGCGATCTAAGATTACTTCCAAATTTCCATGTCGTTCTGTTGCTACTACTGTTGTCTCATTGCAGGCATGCCCTCGGTTGTTTTAAGTGGTGTCGATAGTGTTAAATGTTTAAAAGCTTGTGAGGTATTCACACGGACGGTATCCCACACACACACAAACACACTAAAGGAGCAAAATGGCGAATACATGTCGCAAACTGAGCGCTTCCATGGTGACGCGTGCGCCCAGCTCCTCCAGGCGGCAGCATCCGCGCTCAGGCGCAGACAGGGTTTTTTTTTAGTTTGATTGTTTTTAATGACAAATACAAACAAAAAGAGCGCCTATAAAATGTTAAAAATAAATACATAAAAACACATCAGAAAATAACAACATATCAGCCTCTTTTCTCTTAATTTGGTTCAGTTAATTAACAAAAAGGTTCAGGTCATTCTTCAAGTTTGTTATGTTTGTTTTGATCTTTAAAAAGCGACATTTGTGAATAAAATGTTTATCTAACAAATGATTGATACTATACTCCAGATCTAATTATCATTTATTAATGCATCACATTAAATTTATTTTATGGTTAGAGGGTCAAGCTGAATTCCCCTAGACTGAAGCCAAGACTGAACATCAAGACAAAATTATTGTTCAAAATCACATAAAAAGAAGAGATGCCTCAAGTCCTCATCCTCTGTGTCACAAAACACATTTGCCGGTCTCAAATTAGAATTTTTGTTTTAGGAATTCATTGGTTGGATATACTTTATTTTATTTTATTTTATTTTATTTTATTTTTTAATTGTAAGCCTAGATTCACTTTGAACCGAATTGGAGAAACAATTATTTATGAACATCTCAAAAATGTGTTATTTTACTTTAAGTCACAAAATTCAACGCCTCAGTTCAGTATAATAACACAATACAATACAATAAAATACAACAGAATATGATTATTGTTGAGCAATAAAACACTTGTAAATTAATGAATCCAAGATGGATAGGAGGACCTGAGTTTAATGCCATACTGTGGAAAGCTTCAGGCAAAGTGTCATCTCCATGCCATGGTGACAAGCAGGTGTCTGCCTTCCAACATAAAAGTTACACTGTACACCTTTAACTGTACTGCCTCCAAAGTAACTAAGGTTCAGTACCGACCCGTACTAATGTGACTGACTCCTGCGGAAGTGGGTGTGCTGTTTGTCAGGCTCTTTATAAGTGCTGCTTTGACTGCTTTCAGCTCGGAGTGGTTGGCTGTAGGTTGTTTTCGTTCTCGGAGCTGCTGCAAAACTGTACATTATAGCGGCTCAGCAGGCGGATCCCCGGTTACAGGTTTGAGCAAATATCTTATAATGTGTCTCGGTTATCTCTTGTGAATTGGTTAGCAATAACGTCACGTTTGTAGCTGTCAGCCATGTTACTGTATATCAATCAATGATGCTGCTAGCCACAGTAACCGTGTTTATTTTTAGCAGCTAACCTGCGTTGACTGCAGCGATAAAAGGCAAAAAATAACCTTGTGAATTATACGCTTATTTAACTCTGCAGCTTGGATGGCACACCTTCTTCAAAATAAATTATGTGCAAACAAAGATATATTTTTAAGCTGTGGAGTTGTAAATGTGAAGGTTTACAGTATGTTAGCTCACGCCTAGCTATCCACTGATGCCAAGCTAGGCAGCTAACGTGGTGTGTTATGGTACTACTCAAAAAAGCGTAATCGTCAAAACTCATGTCGCCGTTTTAAATATGAATAATATATTTTGATCACTGAGCACAACATTTGATTGTGGTTGACCCAAGAAATACAAACCACGCATTTTAAAATTCTACCAAGAGCTGTAGTGGTTAGCATGGGATTAATATAATGTTTTAGCTTTACTCGCACTATTATGCTATTAGAGCCGATTTTATTTACAGACAGATCTATCCAGTCGAACATGTCATTCAAAATTGTATAAAGAAAAATATTTTTGTACCACAATGGCTGTTCACAAGTGGGCAATTTAATATGACATTTATCTAAATTATCTTTTGTAGATGGACCAACCAGACCCGTCCTATATGTTTGCCAGTCTCACACGGCCTCACTCAGAGCAGCTGCTGCAGGGCCTACAGCTTTTGCGGCAAGACCATGAACTTTGTGACATTGTGCTCCGTGTGGGTGACGCCAAGATTCATGCCCACAAAGTTGTGTTGGCCAGCATCAGCCCTTACTTCAAGGCCATGTTCACTGGTAACCTGTCTGAAAAGGAGACCTCTGAAGTAGAGTTTCAGTGCATTGATGAAACTGCATTAAAGGTGTGTGTTATATCTGTAATACCAAGATCATATTTATAACAGAAATGTTATAATATAATAACCTCTCTTTTCTTACTTAGGCTATTGTCGAGTATGCCTACACAGGGACTGTGTTCATCTCCCAGGAGACTGTAGAATCTCTTTTACCGGCTGCCAACTTACTTCAGGTCAAACTTGTACTCAAAGAGTGTTGTTCTTTTCTAGAGAGCCAGCTAGATGCTGGAAACTGTATAGGAATTTCCCGTTTCGCAGAGACCTATGGTTGTCATGACCTGTGTCTGGCTGCAACTAAATTTATCTGTGAGAACTTTGAAGAAGTCTGTCAGACAGAGGAGTTTTTTGAACTGACAAGAGCTGAGTTGGATGAAATAGTCTCCAATGACTGCCTTAAGGTTGTTACAGAAGAAACTGTGTTTTATGCGCTGGAATCATGGATCAAATATGATGTAACAGAGAGACAGCAATATCTTGCTCAGTTGCTGCACTGTGTGCGCCTTCCACTTCTGAGTGTAAAATTTCTCACCCGCCTGTATGAGGCTAACCACCTCATACGTGATGACCATGCCTGCAAGCACCTGCTCAACGAGGCTCTTAAATATCATTTTATGCCAGAGCACCGGCTCTCCTATCAGACTGTTTTGTCTGCACGACCCAGGTGTGCTCCAAAGGTTCTACTTGCAGTGGGAGGCAAAGCTGGACTGTTTGCCACACTGGAAAGGTAATTATATGCTGTCTAGTATCAACAACAATGCAATGTTGTTCATTAATAGAGGAGACTCTGGTGGCACATTTAAAAGCAAGTTGAAAAATAAATTGGCATAACATTGTAGTATTTGGTTTGTGTATTATCATGTAATTATACAATTCAATGGATGGCAAAACCAGATCATCTGTGCCACCACAGTGTCTGCAGTAAAATGTAATGTACAATTATTTTTGTATTGTATGTGTATTTCTTTAATAGTAACGGGACATAACTCTTTTGCAGTATGGAAATGTATTTCCCTCAGACTGATTCCTGGATTGGACTGGCTCCTCTAAGTGTCCCTCGATATGAGTTTGGAGTAGCAGTACTGGATCACAAAGTTTATGTGGTTGGAGGCATTGCCACACATATGAGACAAGGCATTAGCTATCGCAGACATGAAAGCACTGTGGAGAGCTGGGACCCTGAAAGCAACACCTGGTCCTCTGTGGAGCGAATGGCCGAGTGCCGTAGCACTCTTGGTGTGGTCGTCCTGGCTGGAGAGCTGTATGCTTTGGGAGGCTATGATGGCCAGTACTATCTGCAGTCGGTGGAAAAATATGTACCCAAGCTAAAGGAGTGGCAGCCTGTAGCTCCCATGACAAAGTCACGCAGCTGTTTTGCCACAGCAGTTCTGGATGGGATGGTTTATGCTATTGGAGGATACGGCCCTGCACACATGAACAGGTACTTACTTTGTAGTCATTTGCAATTCTCTCATAATGTACTGGCCAAGAGGCCATTATATTAGACCTGGTCAAACTTAGTATCAGACGGGTTGTGCTTATGTCACTTCTACAACACAGATTGTTTTACTAATCACATTTCAAACTATAATGTAGGGTTGCAATTATTAAACATGACGAGTCGACTATGAACTAATCATAGTTGAATTTTCATAATTGTAATCATTATCTTGACTCTAAAGACTTCTATTAAATCAAATGTCAAATTAGAATAAATACCTTCACATGTTATTTGTAAAAATCTATTTAGAAGCCTTCAGTCATCATATTTTATCTTTTGGTCTTTTTATTACATAGAAGAACTAGCAGTAAGGTGACTTTGTCAGATGTTGATAATAAACAGGACAGGTGTCTGTTAAAGTAGTGACTTTGTAGAAGTGTCTAAAGTTATACTTAGGAGACACTGTGCGTGTTGCTGAAGCAGTGTTGTTGCTGTGACTCTCCAAAGAGCAGCGTCTCTGTGGTTTGTCTCCTTGACTCCCAGTACCCCTGAGTAGAATGTGTTTAGACAAGCAATCTTTTGGGATGTTTTTCTTTCCTCAACAGCCTATTTATGATTGTGTTCTGCAAACAAAACCAAGTTGCTTATGGAGCATTCAAATGCCTTATTTCACAAAGCCAGTCGAAATAACCCTGAATTTAATTCAAGACTCGGTTATCCCTCAACTCACTGTTTTGCATTTGAGAAAACTGATTTGGAGTAAATTAGACCACTCAGAGTTGCACACACCACTCACATTAATTTTGACTAAGGAGCAAAGCCATGATCAGTTGATCCCAAAAAAGAAAACGTGGAAATGTTAAATAAGTGGAGGCCTCCATAGAGGAGTTCATAAGTGCACTGACAACTTTCAATGACCGGTGTTGATTATTGCCATGACAGTGAAGTTAACAACAACTAGCATGCTGATTATTGGATTATTACAATGAAAGGCTTTATATTAAGATGCAGGCAGCAAGCAGTGGACATATTTTGACCTCAGGAAATGTACAATATATCTCTACTGGCGTAAGAGAAATTTTGTTTAAATACATGCAAAAAAAATCAGGTAATGCTATATCATACATTTATAGACACTGTAATTTTCTGGAGGTAGAATGGCACTGGTATGATTTCATGGAAATGGAAAGTTAAAACCATACTTTGCCATTTTCTATATGAAGATACATGTTTCATGCCATACTGTGGAATATTAGTATAATAAAACCTGCTCTGGACCAGGTTAATCAGTGCATTGCCTAGGCCCTAGGTTCAGACTGAGTTACACTGGTGACTGGCCCAGGGTTTAGGTTAACTCTCTGACACTGTGAACTGAGTTTGGACAAACTAACTTCTTGAATAGGGCCATTATCTAGGGTTTCTTTGACAATTATAATTGGTCATTGGATAATTATACTGAATAATAATCATATTTTCATC